CTCACATTGGGGTTAAGTCAATTTGATCTGCCTTTACAGTTCATTAAAAAAGGAGCCTTGAGGGTGTTTAAAAGTGTACTTTGTGTGTATTTTTTGTGTTGACTATAACGGGATCCTAGGTGATGAGCTCTGATGTAGGTATCTGCTTCTAATCAGAGAAGTCACCGTCCTTGAACAGACAGAAGTCTGCTCAAGTCTTGTGAAAACTGCAGCACATGGTTGGAAATAGAAGTATAGGTAGAATTAAAGCTTTAGAGGTTTGGCATATTTTGAAGTCAAATGGGGCTGAGTGCAGAGTTTTCCAGAGTGAAAGGCAGCTGAGCTGTGGTTTCCAGCAGTTTTAATTTGGGGGTTGAGTATCTAAATCCCACACTGGGTATGGAGGACATTTGGGGGAATCTGATCCTTTTTTAGCAAGGGATGGTGAATAAAAACTCTACTTGGATGATGTGAACAGAAAATGAAAAAGAAGCCCAGAAGTTAGAGCACTAGCAGCGCCATGAAGAGTCAGGTGCAAGCCCTCACAAAGTGGCCTACGTCTGAGCTCCAATGTCTCCATCTCTTTTTGGCAGTAAGTCCCCGAGAAATGACTTGAACCTGGGTGTCCATAGCATCTAGCACTGATAGCCTAAGTGTGGCTTTTTCTCCCTGTGTGGCTTTTTCTTTAAAGTCTGTGCTTTACCTCAGGTTAGAATCTCAAGAAAACATGGAAAAGTGATTTTTTGTTCTCCAGCCAATGTTCACCCTCTTACAACCTATTACAGAAGTTGCTGTATCATTTTCTGGGTGTCTGGGCTCAAAGGCAATTTTTAGGTGTTTCCACAGTGTTGTCTTTGTAAAGATACAAGTTTTGTAGAACAGCTCACAGGTGTTTTCAGTTATACGTTTCAGCTAATGTGAAATTAAGATCTGTTCACACGGCAATGTTCAGAACTAGCTGAAAAGTATGCAGTTGCAGAGTCCTTTAGTTGTACAGGCAGGCTGTCAAGCAGAGGCTTTCGTTCTTCTGCCTTACCAGAGGATACAATAAACAAACAAACTTACTAACAAAGGCTTGAATGGCACAGCCACCTGACCGATAACTGCGGCTGGCTGGAGGACAGGGGACTGTGTTTTCAGCGCAGGATCCTAAGAGTCAGGAGGAGATAAAGGTTTCTTCAAGGAGAAACGGGAGCAGAGAAGGAGCAAGAGACACACAGTCTGTCCTAAGAGTGAGGAATATAAGACTCTGGAGACTGTTGGGCCTGCAGTCTAATGCAGGTCATCCTGAAAGTGTTTTATAGAGCGGTATCTCAGGCAAAGAGCTGGGGAATGGAGCAGATGAGTGACGCCCATGGCTTGCTGCTTGTCTTGAAGCTCCAGAGCTCAGTAGGGGGAGGCAAAGAATCTCTTCCCCCATGTCCTTCTTTTCCTTCATTTACTACTGTTGCTTTAGAACCTTGGACTTACCCTTGTGTGATAACGCTTCTAAAGCACCACCATCTCCTCTAAGAGTCAAACTGAGCAGTTTCTGGCTGCAAACAGTTTGTGGCTGCCCCAGGCGGCAGAGGGGACCGTTGCTGGTGACCTGGAGCCGTGCCCAAGGGCTCGGAGAGGAGCAGTGTCCAGCCACAGGGACTAGGGAAGCAGAAAGTTGCCAGCACATGTGTGTGTAGACACAGGTACATCTGCATATGCATGTGTACATATCTGTATATGCATATGCGTCTATCAGATATATCTGTGTATGTATATGCAGATATTGTATGTTTGTTTATGTATGACATATGCGTATTCTATATATGTCCAAAACCCTCGTGTTTTAAGCAGGCTGGAGAGAGGATAGGGAGGGAGAGAGATCCTGAGACCCAGAGGGAGAGTTACGGAAAGTTGCAGGCAGCAGCTCTAGCTGCTGGCTCAGTGAAAGCCCCAGTCCAGTTTGGGAGCCAACGGCAACAAACCTGAAATGGTCGAGGGGACAGGAGCTCTGCACTGTAAACGGGGCAAAGAATCCCATAACCCCGCAGCCAGGCAATCCGGGAGGAGATGTGGAAAAGCCAGGCACGCCGGCTGGCCGCGCGGGGAGATAAGCACTGCCCAAGTGTACGGCAGGGACAGAGTTTGCGGCCTGAGTAAGAGGGAAATAATGAAAAGAATGTGGGTGAATGGTGGAGCTGCTGATTTTGTGATGAATAATGTGTACGTCAATAGAAAGTTATTCAGGAAAAAATAAAATGTACTTCTTTTATTCTGAAAAAACCCTGTTAAATCCATGCTCTGTTTTGTTAAACCCATTTATTAACTTCCTGTAGGTATGAATTAGGAGCAGCCTTGTTCATTGGATGGGCTGGAGCTTCACTCTGCATAATTGGTGGCAGTATATTCTGCTTCTCAATAGCTGAAAACAGTAACTCGCCAAGGTAAAGCACAAGCTGTACTTACTGAAAGAAATCAACACTAGCACATTTGTACTCGCTATATGTATGCCGTTTGTTTACTTTTCCAAAACACTTTGTAGTGAGGTTCAGAAAAGAATTGCGTGGATGAAAGAAAATAATGGGATTTAAGGATAATGCTCTGTCCATTAACATAATTAAGAAAAGCTACTGACTCAGAACAAATACTTGTGTTATATTTACTTGATACATTTACTACAGCTGGAAAAAATGCATTCACTGATGTAGGAAAAGGTCAGGTCACTTTAGAGGTGTGAATAGACAAGTTTCTTTGATCCCAAATCAGATCAAAAGTGAGAGGTGAAGGACAACGGTGGTGGCAGCAGGACCTCCAGCAGCAGAAGAGGGGTGCTAATGAAGAGGGACAGCTGGAGGGAGTAACTCCTCAACTAGGATCTGCCACAGCCTAAATATTTCATGATTGGGCCCTAATTTACTTAGCTCTGAACAAGGGATACGCGTTTATAGAAAAGTGAATTGCAAAGAGAGATGCTGGAGGAGCAAAAACAGAATGAGACCACACAGGGAAGGAAGGTGTCCTCCCTGCCCCCTCCCCTGAAATTTATAGGTACATTCCTATACGTTTCTTCTAGATTTTTATTACTATAACGCTTGGATGCGGAGATGTTACCTGTCTGTGGGATGAGCTACAAATGGTTGATTCTCTTTCCTTTTCAGGAGGGGGTATGCATATAATGGAGCCACATCTGTGCTGTCTTCTCGTACAAAGGTCCACAACAATGTGCCAGACAAAACCCCACCAAAGCACTTTGACAAGAATGCTTATGTTTGATTGTACTGTTGGAAGATTCAAAGCATGTTAAAAATGAATTTGTATATTTCATTCAGAGTGATTTCCCCCCCCAACCCCAACGTACTTACCACTAAGACAATGCCTTTTTAAAACATTAACTTGCAGCTTTTTACATATTGATGTAAATTTTATTATATAATATTTTAAGATTGAAGTTGGTATTGTAAAGTTTATACCTGGAAATCATGAGCTGATGTTGCTTTCTTGAAAAAAATAAATGAGGTTATTTACCAATTCAGTATGGCAGTTGCTTACGGGAATGGCATCACACACATCACATTGCCTGAAGTGCATCATTGCAACTGTCTCTCAGCACTGGACAAAACCACCATACTCTGTGCAGGTTAGTATGTGAAATATCTCACCACTGATTAGCAGCAACATTGGAATTGCAGAGCACATCGTAACCGCAGCACTAGACGCCGACAGTCAGGGGGAATCAGCAGGCTCTGAACTCCTTATCACATTGCCGGAGTGGACGAATGTGCAACTTGGTCAATTCGGTGCCATAGGGATAAGAAAAGGAAGAGACTGGGTGAACTGCAAATAAGTGGGATTTGGGGAGGCAGGAGCGGGTACTAAGAAGAGTTGGGACCAGTTGTTAGGAAAACAGTCACTAGAGAGAGTGTTGCATGGCCTAGGAAGAATGCATGTATGAGAAGAAGGCGGCATGTCCATAGAAATGTGATGGCTTTTGAGGGAATATTTGTACAGGAAGTCAATAAATGAGATCAGAGATTATGAATAACCACAAAATCCTTTCCAGACCAAGACCCTAAAATCAGGCACAAACTCAGGTCTGTCTTGAGGTTTGAACTGATTGACCCCTTGGAGTTTCGGTACATTGGTTATTTTGGGACAAGGGTGTAAATATAAAAAATGAATAGTCCTATTTAATAATGGCACAGTATGATAAAAAAGGTTTTGTATCTGATACCATCTAAAATACATCAGAACTACAAAGCTATTAAAGGCTCTTTTAATTTTACTTGATTTTTGTATTTCATTTAATTCAAAAGACTATTGTGGTTTTTTAAGAAGGCAGCCAGTACGGACAAAGCAGAAATATGAAAGTACTTCCACAATGGCACGTCAGCGCTTTCCTCACCTCAGCTTGACATTTTCATTTTTTTCCAATTTTTGTGCTTTTATGTTAACTAAGACTCAACTCTAATAAAATTTAAAAAAAAAAACAAAAACCTTCCCAAAATAGGAGGCATTTAATAATAACTAGTTTTATAGCTGAGGCCTTTTTTTCTTTTCATTTGGTGTTTATTGTAAACCATGGTAGAAACGTAACATTTTAATACATGGAAATATTTTCTTTAAAATGTTCACAATTTTATATACAGTTTATGATAAAATACAAGCAAATATGCATTTAAAATTGTATAAAGTAATACTCTGCAGGAAATTTTGTTCACTGGCCCACAGGCTTTCGTGTGAGCCCAGTTTCAATCTTTAATGTAAACATTAGAGGCATAATCTTCACCTCAGTGAAATCAAGGAGACTTTCATCATTGAGTTCAGGAGAAAGAAGCATTAACTCTCAATTTCCAAACAGACATGGCCAGTGATGCGTATATGAACATTCTTGTTTTTCAAATTCAGGACTGAAAGACACAAGAGCTCTGGAAACAGTACATCTTCTGATTACCTAACCAATACAAGAAATGAACAGGAAACAATGTTTCCACCACATTTTCAGCCCCAACAGAACCCGAAGGCAGCGCCTCCCATCGAGAACACAATTATATATCTGATGAATCACTACAATCTGTTACAGTGACTAAGCTGCTTTTTAACGTGCTCGTATTATCAGCTTCATGAAGGCCTGTTAAAATAACAAAAAAATATTACCAATTATTAATACTATTTTGGGGGTATTTTTACTTTGTATTTATCTATGAGCTAAAATCACATGCTATGTGAGCAAACACCTGTGGCCTTCAGGAAGTCCAGAATTTCAACCAGTGAAGAAATTACAAGTGTTGATAATACGAAGGCTGTTTCTGTCACAGACTATAATCCACAGTACAAGCAGTCAGCATCAACATTACTTTCTCTTTAAAAATAATATCTTTATATTAAAAAGTGTATAAATATATATGGTTTGTATATATTTATAAAATATAATATATTTAGAAAAATAGTATCTTTATATAACTGACACAGCTTTAACCTTCACGTATATCGAAATGTTAGGGCTAGAAACTACTATATAAGCTCTGTGTAAGATTGAGGCTATTACTTTACCAGTAGTTCAAATATTTACCTCAGCCTGGTAGGTCACTTAGATATCTTGAACAAACCTGAAATTTTATTACTATCCTCAAGACAGAGTAAGAAAGTTTCCTTTCTCCTTTAAATTTGGGAAAGGATTAAAAAAAAAATCCTGGGTGATTAATTTTTAAGATGAGGTTGAAGTCTGACAGTACTACATGTTTTAAAAACTGAAATTTAAGTTTCTTGGCACTCTGCACATTTACCTGTGTGTGTTGTTTACATCTAAGTATGTATCATAAATATCATATATGATATTTATATGACATAAAACCAAGCACACAGTTTTTCTTGCTTGTTCTTTTCCTACAAAATACCATATATTGAATTACAATGTGTAGTACACTATACTTAAGCTCTCCTCTAGGTATGTCAGTTGTTTAAGGCTTATGATGTAGAAGTATGAATATGTTACCTTCCTCCTTTGGCACACTTGTCTTCGGAAGACCCCATGCGTGTACCACGGATGCTGCATTTGACTCATTTTTCTGAACTGTCAGTGCCTTCTGACCTCTGTCATCTTTCACCAATAAAAAGTCGTCTTCTACCGATGATATATCCCAATCATCTTCATCAACTTCTGTGAACTAACAGGGAGAAGTAAAAACACGTGTTTTTCTTCTGTCCATTCAAGTTGTGCTGAGATCTTCTATAAACTCAACAATGTGAAACTGCTAAAGAAAAACGCACTGGCGCACAGCCTTTATGACAGCTATCACCACAGTTTTAAAATCCACACCATTCAATTACCTAGATTACATTAATTCACTATTACAGTTACAAAGCTAAAAGTGGTTGTTGGGGTTTCTTTAAGTCAGGAACTGCAAAAGTTAAACGTACTGGCAGAAACCTATGTTTTCAGGTATTACACATCTACCTTAAAAAGGATCGGCTTTTCTGGGATATTAGCTATTCCAATGAGATGGAAAGTCCTTTAAGCATTAGAATGTATATTACTTACATGAAAATAAAGACACCACATCTTATCATGCAAGCTGGCAGTTTAGTTTGCTATATAAGCATTCTGCATTCACACTATAAAAATTTAATATTGCAATAAAGGCCTTCTCAATTTAAACCTAATTTCTTTAAAGAGAAAATTAAATAATGAAAATTAAAAAAACACATGGTCCTCAAAGTTAAAATAGGTGTTCCTCTTAAGACTCACCGTCAGCATATACATATTTTTAATTACGTGGTGAATTTGCATAATGAGTTTACAAAACGAGAAGCAACTCAAACAGATGAAGCTGAAGGCAGCAAGTCCATGGTCTTTCTTACCTCATCTGCCTGAGAACTAAGTATCTTCATTCAGCTTTTCAAAGAAGAGCTACGGCATTTCCCTATTTGTCAATCAGATGTGGTTCGATGGAATTGAGCCATTATTAAAGAGCTTAACTGAGGAAAGAGGGGTTTCTCACACAGCTAAAACCTTATTTCACTGGAGTCTCAATATTTCAGTAAGATATAGAAGGTGCTTCTATTGCACCAAAGACTCAGATGCTATTAGAAAACAACGTAAGGTATGTACATATTAGAGAAAAATCAACAAATAGGAACATGTCGTGTGTCTCGAAAGAAGGCAAGAGGCTGCAGTAATGCTTTATCTTGCAACATAATTCAATTTTAACATTGCAAACTGTTTTTCAAAACTGACAGATCTGCTCCGTGTGCTGTATTATTAACATACCAGGATTCAACGCTTTGCTGGCTTAAATTATCTGTATTTGGAGGGCGTGGTGATGGGAAAGTCAGAGTTGCATATATTGAGAAATGCTGGTAGAAGAGTTTCCTCAAAGATTCACAAAGTCCCAACTGACTTTTAAAGTACAGAATACAGAGAAAAATGTCAGCTTCAAATAGAATTCAGTTTCGATCAAGTGTGAATACACAGCACCAGTCAAAACTGCTAAGCAGTTTTACTACTCAAAGCCTTACTCCAAAGAAATACCATAATCTGTACAATATCTAGTACAGGTGAACTCAGGTAATACAGCTTCAGGTAAGCACAACATTAATTTTCTCTAAAATGTTTCTGAAGTAGCTTCTGTGAAACATGATCTTTGTAAAACATGACAATGGGATGCCTTACAAAGGCTTTATGGTGTTGTGGGTTTTGAGAACGACCATTAGCAGTTCTAAGTATTTAAGCTAATAAAAATATCTGGATTTTCAGAGAAACTATCATTACAACGGCATTTTGTGCTTTGGGCACTTTTTAAAATCCCACCTAAAATTTAAAGAATTAACTTGAACTATACATCTACATTTACACATACAAATACGGACATGAATATATGCACATTCATATATAATTTGCAGGGAATACCAGACGGTGTGCTGTTCTGTAATTCCAGAACCAAAGTAGCAATGACTGCCTTGAGTTCATAAACTCATTGCAAACTCATCATGTCCATACAGGAACATGCCACTGTGTTAATACATCAGGGACACAATGTATGCTAAATGAATTCTAGCAAAAATACTTTTCATAGAATCATAGAATGGTTCGGGTTGGAAGGGGCCTTTAGAGACCATCTAGTTTCAACACCCCTGGCATGGGCAGGAACATTTTTCACTAGACCAGGTTGCTCAAAGCCCCATCCAACCCAACTTGAACACTTCCAGGGAGGGGGCAGCCACAGCTTCTCTGGGCAACCTGTTCCAGTGTCTCACCACCCTCATCATAAAAGAACTCCTCCTTATACCTAATCTAAACCTACCCTCTTTCAGTTTAAAACCATTGCCCCTCATCCTGTCACTACAGGTCTTGTTAAAAAGTCCTTCTCCACCTTTCTTATAAGCCCTCTTTATATTCTCAAAGGCCACACCAAGGTCTCCCTGAAGCCTTCTCTCCTCCAGGCTGAACAACCCCAACTCTCTCAGCCTGTCCTCACAGGAGAGGTGTTCCAGCCTTCTGACCATTTTTGTGGCCCTCCTCTGGAACAGCTCCAATAGGTCCATGTCTTTCTTGTACTGGGGGCCCCAGAGCTGGATGAAGTACTAGAGCGGAGTAGAGGGGGAGAATCACCTCCCTAGACCTGCTGGCCACACTTTTGATGCAGCCCAGGATGTGACTGGCTTTCTGGGCTGTGAGTGCACGGTGCTGGCTTATGTCCAGTTTTTCATCCACCAACAGCCCCAAGTCCTTCTTCACAGAGCTGTTCTCAATCCACTCATCCCCTAGTTTGTATTGATACTGGGGACTGCCCCAACCCAGATGTAGGACCTTGCACTTGGCCTTATTGAACTTCATGAGGTTTGCACTGGCCCACTCCTCAAGCCTGTCAAGGTGCCTCTGGATGGCATCCCGTCCCTCAGGTGTGTCCACTGCACCACTCAGCTTGTTGTCATCTGCAAACTTGCTGAGGGTGCACTCACTCCAACTATGTCATTAATAAAGATATTGAACAGTACTGGTACCAACACAGACCCTTGAAGCACACCACTCATTACTGGTTTCTACTTGGACATTGAGCCATGGAGTGCAACTCCTTGCACGTGGCCATCCAGCCAATTCCTCAGCCATCTAACAAGCAGTCCATCCATCAAACCCACATGTCTCCAATTCAGAAGTAAGAACATTGTGGGGGACTGTACCAAAGGCCTTTTAGAGTCCAGGTAGATAGCTCTTCCCTTGCCCGCTGGTGCAGTGACTCCATCGTGGAACGCCACCAGATTAGTTAGGCACGATTTGCCCTTGGTGAAGGCATGTCGGCTATCTCTAATCACCTCCCTGTCTTCCAGATGTTTTGACGTATCTTCCAGAAGGATCTGTTCCATGATCTTAGCAGGCACAGAGGTGAGGCTGACTGGTCAGTAGTTCCCAGAGTCCTCTTTTTCACTCTTTTTAAAAACGGGTTTGATGTTTCCCTTTTTTCAGTCAGAGACTTTGTATGACTGCCACAACCTTTCAACTATGATGAAGAGTGGTCAATTTTCTTAGGACCCCGGGTAGCATCTCGTCAGGTCCCATGGATTTTTGTATGTTCAGGGTCCTCTGGTGGACTTGAACCCGATCTTCACCTGCAATGGGAGGGATTTCATTCCCCCAGTCCCTGCCTTGAGGTTCAGGGGCTCCAGAGATGTGGGGAAGAGAGGTTACCAGTGAAAACTACAGCACCTTTAAAACATAGATTTGTAAGGCTTATTTTGCTACAGCTCTTTGCTCTTGAAGCCCAAATTCCTGCTCTGGCAGGGGGGCTGGACTAGATGATCTCCAGAGGTCCGTTACAACCCTTACCGTTCTGTGATTCTGTGATTCCTTAACACAGTGGCCCACTGTCTATAGATCTTTATAAAATGTAACATCTCCTAAATTTAACTGTGAAATTTCACAGTCTTGTATCATCTGAAATTGCAGAGAATTTGAAAGTAACATTTGGACAGAAAATTACACTGTAATAGTCATGTCAGTCGATAATTTTGAGTCTGGTGTGATTTGCAGCTCCCACACAGTCAACGGGTAAGTTAGGTGTCACCCGTGGCAATTAAAAGCACACAGGCTAAAAGTGATTACCCTACCATTACTGCTGAAGCTGATTAAGACAATCACCCCTTTCTGGAAACTGAAATAGAAGTGTCACTGTTTCTGGAGGAGTGATAAATTTCAGATTTAACTGGCAGTCAGGAAGCCCTAAGATAAGCTATCAGTTTTATTATGGATAATAAAATTATTATGGACTCTCAGTAATTATTATTTGTTTATTTAGTGAAAAAGTATTTTATTGAATGCTAGAACTAGGCTGTCTACTCCAATCTAATAACAGCTACTAAAATTGAAATAAAAATCACCGTCTGCTGTTGACTTCTGATGTGGAGTAACTTGTTCCTTTTAAAAATTCTTCAGGCAAAGATTGATTTGCATCAAAGTGGCTTATTAATTACAAAACTCTAAAATGAGGAGAAGACTGAAGGGTAAAGAATAAGTTGTGTTAGTATTCTGATTCTGAACACATGCCATGCTCAATGGACAGACATCAGTGACAGATCTGATGTAGCCTGAAAACAGTATGTGACTGTAAATAAATGCAGCAGAACAAAGATCATACTAAAAAATGCAATCTTTCCCCTTATTAAAATGTATTTACAAGTTCTGTATCAGCTAAAGCTCTAGAAACAAAAATATTTTAAAATACTAGATGAACAAATTCACTTTCTCCTCCATCAAAACAAGCTAATAGGAAAGCAACTAAAGGAGGGAGCTCTCTGTGCTGATAGGAGGTAAAAATGATACCAGTTGTGCTCAAACTTTGGGCTAGCTGTAGTGATCCAACAGTCATGGCATAAGCTAATAAGCAGAGTGGATGAAGAGGTCACTGGCCACAGCTCACTTGTCAGCACTCTTCTATATACCAGTGCAGACGTACCCAAAAAGACTACTTAGCTGTAATTCCAAAACTGTCTTTGAGAATTAAGTTCTTCACTGTGTCAAGATGGTTTCAGCATCCAAAAAAAAAGTAACAGATACACATAGGTGCTGGAGCGTGTCCAGAGAAGGGCAACAAAGTTGGTGAAGGATCAAGAGCACAAGTCTTAGAAGAGCAGCTGAGAGAACTGGGGTTGTTTAGCCTGGAGAAGAGAAGGCTGAGGGGAGACCTTATTGCTCTCTACAACTACCTGAAAGGAGGTTGTAGTGAGGTGGGGGTCGGTCTCTTCTCCCAAGTAACAAGCAATAGGACAAGAGGAAATGGCCTCAAGTTGTGCCAGGGGAGGTTTAGATTGGACATTAGGAAAAATTTCTTTAGTAAAAGAGTGGTCAAGCACTGGAACAGGCTGGCCAGGGAACGGGCTGGAGGTGTTCAAAAAACATGTTGATGTGTCACTTCGGGACATGGTTTAGTGGGCTTGGTGGTATTAGGTCAACAGTTGGACCTGACAACCTTAGAGGTCTATTCCAACCTTATGATTCTATGATTCTACATACATATATATATATTTCAATCACTTAACGACTATTAAAAGTGATACCTTCAGTTCCTTCACCTCTTCTTTAATAAATGCCTGCGCAACATTAATCCCTCCAGCCAGTTTCTTCTTATTTCCATGGTTAGAAAGACTCTTTCCAACTTGTTCAGTCAGTTTCTGAATAACTGTTCCTAAAGTTCATAAAAAAATATATTGACATTTCCACTCACAAGTAAGAGGCTTTACCGTAAACCCTCTAGAAATCTTCCACAAAGTAAAAAATAAGTAAAAGAAGTCTCTCTGAGGCAGAGATTATATCTTTTTCTGCATTTATATAAAACAGCATGATACACATCTGATTTGAACTGACATGTCTAAATACTATATTAATATAAACACATTAGCAAAAATATAAAGTGCACACAAATATATATACACTCAAGACTAGATAATCTGCCTTCATTATGTTTTCTAACACAGAATTATCAGGAAATGCAAAATCATGCACAGCCGTTACAACACGTATATACAGACGTAGTGAAAAAACCTTTTGAAGTTTTGGCAGGTGTTCCAGTTCCTTCAATTTCACTTTCCTCCGTCCTATCCACACTACTTTTGCCAGAAGCCTTCTGAAAGGCACTGACTTTGCCACCTGATGTTTTTGACTGGTTTTGCAGTAATTCTGGTGATAGGTAAAGTTGTTTAATATCATCTTCATCTACTTCTTCCTCTGAACTGAATGGTGGAGTTCTAAGCAAAAACACATACAATCCATGGAATGACTGGGTATACTATATATGTCATATACATATTGCAGCTTCCTTGTATTTTCCTTTCCAATAACATGAGCATACAGAGCTCCCATAGATTCTATCCATAAAGCTATTTAAAAGAAATCATGCTGCTAAGTAAACTCAGAAAGTTATCACAAAATGATTTCTTACATAGACATGACTATTCCCATCTATGAAATTATCTTTACGAAACAACAGACCAATATATAACAAGTTTTGCCAGGCAAACAAAGATAGGCTTTCATGGAACATCAGGGAGAGCACAGTTCAGGGTCAAGGAACCTGCACCACAGAAAGTCTGTTCTGACATTCTGTTAGATGAAAATAATTTAGGCATTTTTCAGTGGCAGGAATTTACAAAGTAATGCACCTGGTGTGAGTAGAATCTGGAATACTGTGTTTAATTTTGGTCATAGTAAGAAAGTATCAATAAACTGAAAAAATTAGGTCACCAAAGTCTTTAAATGCTTTTAACTGGGTCAGAAAAAGCGCCTGAGAACAAAACTAAAGGAAGTGATACTACCTGATTTTATTGAATGTCCCTCTGTAGTTCACAACAAAGAATACATCTACTGAAAGGAGAACATGCTATCTTCCCAGGATTACACACTCAAATGGAATAATAGTTTAAAACAAAATATGAAATACGCAGTCCAGAAAGTGTTTATAATTTTAGCTGACTAATAGCTTTTGTGTGGCAAGCATGTGAATATACAGTCACCAAAACTGTTTTTTTCAAAAATACAAGGGAACCAAACATACGTGATGCTGGACGTCTTTCTGGAAACCTCATTTCCAAAAAGCTTTCTGGATCTAAAAATAACAAGACAAGTTATTTGAAGACTGACAGTCAACTAAGTAACCATAAAGTTTATATAGAAGTAACGTGAATTCTTTGCTCAATTCTTATAGTATTAGCAGGAAGTGTTCACATCAGTCACAAAACCCCAAAGCCATAGGATTGTTACCTGAGGTATGAGCACTATGAGAACAGCATCTCTTACTTTGGTGTAGACGTATTCTCAGCAATGGCTGTTCTTTGTTCAGCTGGGCGGACAGCTGTTGAAGATCGTTTTACCGGTTTTCGTGGTGTGGCAGATAATGAAACTCCCAATTGATTGAACTTCTGTTTATCTACAAGGCAAGTGATCTATCTCATTATTAGTAACAATGTTTGGTATAATTTTTTTTCTTCAAAGCAGTTCAGAGCTGCCATGTATCCTGCCAATATAGGAGCTAAGGTTTCTGCAGTTAAACACAACACCAAGAACCCTTCAACAGACACTGTTTAGCTGGCTGCAACTATATAGAATATTTATATGAAAAATTATGAAAGCAGCTATACAGAAATGTTGCTAAACAAAACCTTAAATAGCCATTACAAAATGTAAGAGAAAGAAAAAACCACACAAATATTTTAACCTTCTGAATGAAGCTGAGGATGGGAAACAAGTCCATTACAAGATGATGATTTCTCTTTAATCCTAAAGCTAACTTGTCGTTCAAGATCCTCTCGAATTCGGTGAATGTCAGGCACTTGCTTCTGTTTGCATTCTCTAGCAGATTCAATAGTACGCAAAATTTTATTTAAGCGATCACTGGGGATACCGCGAACACCCTAAAGAAACAAATTGTATTGTAAGCACAGGAGTTACTATTTCTGGGATTTACATGCTACAATCATATACACTCTTTCAAACTTCAAGTACCACAAAAAATCACAAAAGTTGGTAACACTGCTCACAGGTGTAGCCAGAACCTCCACAGTTGTAATTCGATGGACATCCACTCAGGTTAATAAATTACACTTATTTATAACACGTGGAAGTTTAGCTTTGGATTTTATAGGTTGAGGCTTGTGGTATAAGAGTCACAGAGAATAGCAAAAAAGTGGCACAAAGATTGTCCCTCTTTTAAATAACTCAAAATAATCTTACTGCTTTAATGCCCAAGGATTTCAGCTTGTCTTCCAGGACTTGCTCCAAATCAATTCGTAATTCTTTAGTTAAATAAGGGTAAGTCTTCAAAGCATCTATTAAATAGTTGTTACTTCTACCTGTTTTATAATCACCCTTCTCAATTTCTGAAATAAGAAAGGAAAAATGCATTTAAGAGACATTTGAAAAATCCACAGTACATGAGACAACTAAAAACTGAAGCATGCATTTTTTAGAAACACCATAGACATAGATGTGTACTTTTTGTCTACACGGAGTCGTGTTCTTTTTGGGCTAGCTTATAAAAGTCAGCTCACTTGGAATCTATACCTCAGCACCTCATACTCACCATCACAAGTATCTTTTAGTTCTCTTGTTACAGAATCACTGTAAAGATATATGCCTGAATATTCAGCAACAACGATCTTTACTTTTAGGACTGTACTTGGAAACTTTCAATAAAGAAAGACTATCTTCTGATAATTAAGTTCTCTAAAAGCGGTATTTCAAATTAAAGCTGAACTCCAGCA